TCTTGATGTTGGGAGCACCAGTTCTACCAAGTAAAAAAGTTAATTTGAGCCCTACATAGATATGTATAGGTAGATTCCCCATTCGACTGCGCCAAGCATGTAGACACGTCCGCCATCTTTAACGTTCAACTTGGCATCATTCACCATATTAATCAATGAATATTCGAAGATGCCACAATCCTGCACAGCCGTTGGTTGTAAAAACTAAGGGTGCTCCGATTGATCGGCTACCGATCACTATCGGCCGATAATCACGTTGGGATGATTGATCGCCGGTCTCTAAAAAGGCCGACCTCAAAAAAACGATCTCAAGCTGATGACACTGCTGTTTTTGCATGACATGCAGCGGCACCGTCTCAGTCTCTGTCCAGTGCGGGTGAAATAATTATAATGCTGACGTTGAGGTACTCACCTTCATATTTCTTCATTAAATAACTTATAAAGTAATTTGAAAACCTTGTGTGAGACGTCATTTCACAAACAGCGTGAGTGAATCACCACTCGCACGCGCGCGCTCTCTCTCTCTCTCTCTCAAAATATGCAGATGGCTTCAAATCACCACACATCTGTCTATAAGCCAGCTCCACCCTGCACAGTTGACACAGGAATTGTCACTTGCACAGTCGAGGCAGTCACATCGTCACTAAAGTTTATAAATTGCATTTATTTTTAATTCTTGCCAGTGCTCCTGAAGACCATACGCTCATGCACACTCATACACACATAATGCCAGGTTCACATTACTCCGTTTGCAGTGCATATGTGGTGCGTATTTTTTCCGCGCTCATGTTAACGGATAAGCGTTCACTGCACACGGTTGCGGTCCAGCAGTGCGTTCCAGGAGCGGTGCATCTGCAGCAGTGCAGAGATCGTTTCCACACCGAGTCTACTGTGCTTCACAGTCAACACATATGGCTTTTTGGCTAGGTTTAACGGGAAAGAGCACTTTTAGATAAAGAAGGCAATAATAGATGGCACACGTGGAGGAAGGAAAACAAAGTTCTTTATGAACAGCAGGATTGCATGTAATAAATATTTAAATGCAAAAGGAAAGGCAGTAGAGCTGACTATTTCTGTCGATGGTAAGTTTGTGATAACGTAAGAAAATTAGTTGAAATGTTTTGCCACTTGCTTGAGTAACGTAATATATAAATCTAGAAGTAAATGCAAAAGTAAAAAGCATTGAATAATGTGTTGCTTATATTTATTGTGTTTAAACATGTCTGTGAAAGATTGTATTACTGTACTGTGTAAAAAAAGAATTGCAATGCTGAAAAAGCACTTTCAGTGACAATGTTTGGATTTGAAATCAAAATAATGAATGATGTTGTGTTTGTGGTAAACAGCCACGGATCAGTAGCGGACTCCTGTGTGAAAGCTGCTTCCCCTCTCACAAGAGTCACCTAAGAGGGGAATTCCCCCCATTTTCAAAAATGAAATTCAGGCCCTGAATAACTGTCTAAAAATCCTGATTGGAGTATCACTATAAATAGTTATAAATGATAAAAAGAAGGCTTTAAAAAGATCAGTATCGGTGATCGGTATCGGCAGATACTGCTTTCTGTGATCGGCGATCGGCCTCAAAAATCTTGATCGGAGCACCCCTAGTAAAAACCGCCGGGATGTAAATTTCCGAAGAAACGTTTGTGTTTATAAATGTATTAACTCAATATAACAAGTTTTGAAACATTGGTAACTTTTAATGTTGTGTTAGCTAAAGCGCTCATCTTGTTGTATGGTGTTAGTTAGGTCTACACAACAACACGTCGGGCTCTCTTGGCCACCATACTCGAGGGTTCGCAGACCATCGGCTGTTATGGTAAATGACGTCAAGTTGACCCTTCGCATATGGCGGATGGCTTACGTATAGCGGCCCATGGAAACAGTCGCTAATGAGGCATCTATGTATACATATCTATGAATCTACCTATATACATATCTTTATCCATATTAGGGATTTCCTGGAGCGTCATGAGTTCTATTACTTCTGTGATGCATATGTGGAGTTTCTGCATGAGGGTGTCCTCTGGCGTCCAGTACGAGTGAAACAGACATAACATGCAAAAATGTCAACAATTCTGTGTTTTTCTGTCAATATGGGGTGCTGTGTGTACATTAATGAAGAAAAAAAATTACTTAAATGATTTTAGCAAATGGCTGCAATATAACAAAGACTGAAAAATTTAAGGGGGTCTGAATACTTTCCGTACCCACTGTATATATATATAATTTTTACTCTCTTTCATTCTTTCTTTTGAAATTCAACATATATGGACATTTTGAACTTTCTCATTTATTTTCCCGGAAAAACTACAAAATCATAGACAATCTGTCAGCCAAGCCTTGGACACAAAGTGACAGATCTCCAAATCAATACTCAATGCTCCTTACTGCTGTTTAACAGACAAACACCATTATTTATCCGTGTAATTAAAATAACTAAAGTGTGCCAATGCAGCACACTTAATTTACCACAATATAATATTTTCCGTAGAGTTTGATGTCTGTTTTGGCATTGTAAAACAGTCAAGCATTTGACTGAACTTTGGCTTTGAAGGGCTTAGCTTGAACTACAATTATACTCTCAACAGAAACCAGAACTGTGAATCCACAGCCAGAAGATATGAGAGGAGCGAGACAAAAAGAGAAAGAGATATAAAAGGGGAGGGATACAAAGTATACGCACCAATCTCCCTCAAATACCATGATGAATTACATCAGACGTGTCCCTCGCCTGCAGAGGACTAAATGCACACCAAACAACAAAGCCCTACAGCCTCTAGCTTCAACTTTGCTATCTATCAACACACTTGCATGCTCACAAATGCAAAACAACAACAAAAAAAGCTCCTGCTATTCATACTGAATCATAAGTGCAAGAATCTGTATAGCAAACATTGAATCCCTGTTGCCATGACCTTAACCTTTGTGAATGTCGGGATAGACACACTGACACAATCATATCCGCTTGAAATTACTGCACACATACTGTATATGCATACATACAAGATAAATTGCCAATGTCAAAGTCACAGTGTTGTGCTGCATTTTCCAGCACAATCCATTAATAAAACCAATATATTTGTGTATCAAATAAAGTAAAATGATTAATACTCTTATAATAAAAAAATGGCATGACTAAACCATAGTGGATTACCTTCATGTCAGTTACTTTATAGCAATATTTTTTTTTCTGTGATAAACAAATTGACATGTAAAGGATGGAATGATCTTACATGACATCAGTTTTGACCTGACAGTTAAAAATCCCACAAAACAAAATATAGAGGGCGGCTGACAGTCTAACACGAGTTTCAATATTTATACAGAGCAGGCGGCATTTATACAGAGCAGGCGTTATTTTGCTGCACTTTGAAGCACTTTAAACACAATTGTGGTCACTCAGCTCTGCAATTTGACTCTCCAGAACTTCTCCAGAAGTATGGCATTTCGGAACACATATGACTAGTGAAAACTGAAAACGAAACCATGCAATTGCAAACATCATCTGCTCTCACAGAAATGGATGATTTCCATCAACTGCAAAAATTTGCATATGGTTCTGGCTGTTGTTCAAGAAAAAATTTTAAAAGTAGTGTATGGTCACCCATAAGTAGTTAATTAAATTAACATGCTAAAACAACAGCCCTAATATATATATATATATATATATTAGGGCTGTTGTTTTAGCATGTTAATTTAATTAACTACTTATGGGTGACCATACACTACTTTTAAAATTTTTTCTTGAACAACAGCCAGAACCATATGCAAATTTTTGCAGTTGATGGAAATCATCCATTTCTGTGAGAGCAGATGATGTTTGCAATTGCATGGTTTCGTTTTCAGTTTTCACTAGTCATATGTGTTCCGAAATGCCATACTTCTGGAGAAGTTCTGGAGAGTCAAATTGCAGAGCTGAGTGACCACAATTGTGTTTAAAGTGCTTCAAAGTGCAGCAAAATAACGCCTGCTCTGTATAAATGCCGCCTGCTGTATATTCTCTGCGCACTCTATATATATATATATATATATATATATATATATATATATATATATATATATAGTATATATACAGTTTTCAATTTGAATATATTTTATTTTTTATTATCTACATTTGTATTCTTTCCTGTAATTGCAAAACAGCCACATGGTCCTGAATGTTTGAATAAAACATTAAAATATGGTTTGATGATTTGACTAAATATGACTTGATTTGGTGCTCAAGAAACATTCTGTCTGATTAGATGAAAATGGCTGTGCTGTTTAAAGGGGAAGTGTTTAATTTTGAAGAACAGCATTTATTTGAAATATAAATCTTTTCTAAAATTATAAATGTTTTGACTGTAATCTCTGATCAATAATGCGTCCTTACTGAATGAAGGTATCAAATTCTTAAAAACACACAAATAAATCAATCTTACTGACCCCAAACATACCCAGTATGGTTCTAATGGATTTATGCACAAATTAAGTCTCAAAAAAATATTAAAACTGTATATTGTAAGTAATACAGGTTTGGAACGACATGAGAATTTTCTTTTTTGTGTTAACTATTTCTCCAATTTTATAAAAAAGTATTTTAATCATTAAAAAAAGGCAATTGCAATTGTTACAATATAATACATTTCTTCAACAAACGTTCCTCGAAACCATATAGCTGCTTCAAAATGCATGAATGTGTCCTTTACAAACATCCCTTAAAACAACATAGAATGCATTTATTTGCAGAGACAGCAAGAGTGGTAGTGTTTGGCTTCATCACAGCCAACACAATTACACCTATTGTGCTTATTCATCAGCTAGCCTTCATTAGTGGCTTTGGATGGTGAGGTTAATGCATCCTTGCATCCTCAGCAAACTTATCTCACTAAATTCCAAAAACTAGAATTCAATGCATATAATGGAGAAAGAAAGTAAATGTTTAATTCACTCATTTTAGTGTTTAATTACACTGAACATTTAATTTAAATGTACATACCTGAAAAAAGTGTGCATACCTGAAAAATGTGACAAAGAATTGTACCAGGTCCATGATACTGCTGTGTTGAGAGAAGGATATCTGTGAGAAAAGAAGAAGAACGGTGTTAGAGATTGGATTATTATTACTCCTGTAAAATATCATGCAAAAACTACTGTTGAAAGATACTCAAAAATATTTATAATGGGACATAGTACTACGGTGAATCACAATTAAAGAGATTTCTCCATTAATGTCTCCTAAAACAGCCTTAGTCATATCAAATATAACAGGAAAAATGTGGCTTGAGTAACAAATAACATACATCAGTTTACAGCGCAGTTTAAATGTCTTAATGTTTTAATTACCAAATGGCTTCAAATTTGAAGGAAAAAAGCAACACGCTATGGATTCTGGGCTAGGTGACAAAAAATAAACTACTGTTGAACCATGTTTAAAAGCTTTTTGAAAAAATTATGGCCTGTAATAAATTTGACATATAATTTAATCAAGTGTTTATGCTGTTGATCTAATCTAACTTGAATTAGTTGTGCACCTTACTCTGTAAACTTTCTGTGGAATAATAAATGCTTCTAATCAAAATAATTTTTGCTTGACATGTAAGTAGTTTTATTACATATTCATGGCATATTAATTTTCTACAACTTGGCAAGGTTTCCTAGAAAACAAGCAACATGAATTTTCCCCAACTGCCGAACAGAGACTTGAAATTCTCTGATACTTAATTATGTGCATCTATGATGCCTTATTTGTTTTTGTCGATGTGGAAATTTATTTATTTATGAATTGTATTTATTTATTTTTTCCACCGTTAAACATAATATCTCAAGTTCATTCCCTAATCTTAAATATTCTAAAAAAGACTCTAAGGCTTAAAAACACAAGTACTTTTACAAAGATAACCGCTTGATACTATCTGCATTATGAAATATTATAATCCACATAATGGAAAGCAATTATAAGTAAACTCATTATCCAGTGAAACATTGATTCATATCATTACTAAAACACTAAGTAAATAGAACAGTGTTAGCACAATATTGAAACTTCTCTCACTCAAAATTTACCCCGATTAAAACTAACACATCTCAAATATAAAGGGCTACTGAAGTACTTAAAGAATCTTAGATCCATTAAATAAATGCTGAAAAAAAATGTACTTAATCATCGCAGTTTTTACTTTTTAGAACTTTTCAAGTTCTAACAACTTATATTGTTATATTGAACAATTTAAAGCCATGCAAATTAACTTTAATTAAAATTGTATAGCTACTTTATTCAAATTTTAATCCAGATTTTACATTATAACAACTTGACATTTTAAATACAATTAAGACATTTACATAAAATGTATTTAAAATAGATTCATGTAAATGAACTTAAATTAAGTCATGCAAACTGTTGCCTTAATTTTTTAGGTTTTTACAAACATTTCTTTTCTTTTTTTTTTACATGGTGCATGTACATCATGGATCGCAAGGATAGACCAAACACACGCACACACACATTGCCACATTTTCTCACTCACATAAAGATGAAAGACCCCAAAAGCCACTGAATGAAAGTCGGTGATGGCTAATTCATTACATTATATAACATGTGCCAATACACAACTAGATAGTGTTTGAAATCAGTGCATTAACATTTCTCCCTGTCCTTCCTTACGTAAGCTGTACAATAACCACAGTGTGTTATATAAAATGCATTTGATTTCTCAGCTGTTGCAGTCAACCCCACAAATAAGATCCTGTGTTCCTGTCCATTCGCTGATTGCTTTAGCTACATGACCGAATTATTTGCCTTTTCAATATCTGAGGCCACTCACATCGATTGCTTAAGAGAATCCAATACACAATTCTCCCAACTAAACCTATCTAAATTTTAATCCGCACTCCATCTCCATCTAAAAATCGACCATCTGATAAAAGAAAATGTCATTTTATGATTGATTTGTAAATGTCAGATGTTATCACAGTGATTTATTTTTCAAGAAGTGGCGTGCTTTAAAAGTTCAGGCGACAAAATGTGTTTACTTAGTTCAAATGAGTTTTGGACTTGCACTTTTCTTTTTTGTGGAGGACACACTATTATCGACTGCAAAAACAGAGGCAGGTATATAGCAAGGCAATTACGCACACACATACAGACATTACATGTGGACCTTCTCTGTCACGCTACGCAGCTTTGTTTGGTTGTGCCGGGGAGCACAGCCCGTGATCATGAAAGGTGACTAATAAATCCATGAGACATTTCCGAACATCATAAATGTGCTTTTATTTCTGGATGGAAGAAAGGAGCATTAGGATAGATGGAGAGGAGCGGATTGGGAGGTGTGTGTGCGCAGGTGGAAGTGGTCAGCCCTTAAGTGATTTACTGGCATTTGCTTTTTGCAGTGAAAGTGCATGACAATCAAAAACTGAAAGAAAGAAAGTGTTGAGAAAAGCTGATTTCTCTTTCCAGAGGGACTGGCCATTAAGCGAGTCGAGCTGGTGGCTGGAGCTGGTAACTTACTGAAGTGCTCTCGACTCCTCCCCGCTCCTAAATTCAGCCCTTTACTGTAAACATCATGCTGGGTTGAGAGCGGTAACACATGAACTGAGAAAACCACTATTAGTAAATGCATTCCAGTCCTTAAAGGGGTCATATGATGTTGCTAAAAAGAACATTATTTGGTGTAATGAAATGTGTTTATGCGGTTTAAGGTTCAAAAAACACATTATTTTCCACATACTGTACATTATTGTTTCTCCTCTATGCCCCGCCTTTCTGAAACGCGTCGATTTTTACAAAGCTCATCGGTCTGAAAAGCGAGGTGTGCTCTGATTGGCCAGCTATCCAGTGCGTTGTGATTGGCTGAATACCTCAAGCGTGTGACGGAAATGTTATGCCCCTACCATACTGCGATGCCCCGTCCGGCCGGAGCGACAAGACAAAAACATTAAAACCCATTATAAACGAGGCATTTGTTGCATCCAGTGGAGACATAATTACGGATTATAATGACTTGTACTGTCTTTTAACATAAAACCGTGTCTGCATTTGTGATCGGAGAAATGACAAACAACAAGCGCTACTCTAAATTCTTTAAACATAAAAAACCTACTTACAGTCTGTGAGTCAGAACAGCCGGCATTACAGTCTACTCTACCAGGATCATCAAACAGTCCTCCATAAATTGTGCTGCACACATCTGAATATTTGGGTTGAACTGTTCTGAAACAGTGTTGTAAATACAACTTAACCACTGATTTCTAGTCGTGTCCTCTTTTGGAAGGCCAAGCTAAGTAGTTTCGCTTTCACAACGAAACACAGTGTCACACACGGCGGCCTTGAGTGAGCGGCGGCCGGCGGGCTTGCGGCAACCACTTCCGCTTCGTCCACGGTGAAAGCTGATCTGGTGATCCACAGCGCAAAGTTGTTGTATTTCCTCAGCAACCAGCACGGATCAGCTCCAGTCATGACGAAGTGGATATCGTCCTCTTTTGGAAGGAAAAACAAAGTAGTTTCGCTTTCACAATGAAGCACACAGCGCCTTCACGACATGGCGGCCGCAACAATAATAAAGCGAGAACAAAAGT